GACTCAGGCAGGAGCTGGATGACCTTCTCTGCCGCAAACACCCGAGGGTTGTTGTTAAGCAGATCCACGGCAGCGCTGGTGAGATCCTCGGAGCTCAGGTAGATTTGGAGCAGATTGAGCAGCAGGGTCTGCCTGAACTGTGAGTCCTGGTCCTGGGCAGCCCTGCAGCAGAAGGCCTCTGCAGCCTGGAGGTCTCGCTCCTCGTAAACAAGCACCTGCAGTGCCTGAGAGTGTTCACCAGTCTTGCTAAGGAGAATGGCTTTCTCTATGTGCAGGGATGTTGACTTGATTCTCTCTGTGATGGGAATAAAACAAGACTTATAATTTGGTAATAATTAAGTAATAATTTATTTTCTCATAAGGCATTCACGTACCATACACAGTGGAGATGTCATAAAATCTGGATTCCCATAGCTGCTCCTGCAATTTCCCTCTGGTCTTCCTCAAATCTGTTTCCTCTTCCTCTTGCAGCGTCTGAGTAACATATGCCAGGGCCAGACGGTTGTGATGTCTCTCCTCCTGGGGGCAGATTACACCAATGATGTCCCAGTGCATTTAATAAAGGAGTCTGGTTATTAAATTATGCAGCTTCTGCTGTACCCACCTCACTGTTCAAATCATAGATTAATAACTCAAGATACAAAATCAATGCCAGTGGGTACTTTTCCAAGAGAGCAAGGACATCTTGTGGCTCAATTTGATCATCTGGTGGACGCCTGCTGAAAATCTGCACACCTATCTTTTTCAAATGAAGGAAAGCTGTTATTGGCCATTTGATTACCAATAATTGTTGCATAAGCAAAGCAATTTAGTTAATATGGTGGGTGGCATTTTGCTGTGTGTTTATATCTGTAACACACAGTTCTATTGTGCAACTCTGCCCTCTGCAGTTAGGTTGAGAGCATGAAAAAATGAAAAAAAGGCACCTCCTGGTTTTTCTGCAGAGTCCAGTCTGCAAATTTCCACACAGCATCTCTGTCTTGCAGTTGACTGAGAGTCCACACAATGTGTCCATACACATCTGAGCAAGACAGGTCTTTGTGGACACCATCTGCAATTTTCACCCAAGTCTAGAAGAATATAATAGGCTGAAACACACTTCTTTTATACATTCAGTATATGTGTGACGTGGAGTTTTGGGAAATAATACCTTAATTGCATCAGTTTGATTTCCATGGCTTTGATAGAGAGAACCTAATGCAAAAAATCTGAAAATAAAAAGAGACAAAACTGAAAATCAGAAATGGCAAGCATTGAAATTAAGCCTTTTAAGCCATTGTATAAAACATTTTAACCATTTTTGTACTTTAAGCAAATGTGAGTACAATTTTTCAAAAAATGATCATTCATTTCCACCTGTTGTGTTGCTCCAAAACAGAAGCACAGTGCTCCAGTCTGCATTCATTGGGAAGTGTCACAAGCTGCTGCAGATTTTCTGTGTCTCCCAGTTCAACATACAGCCTCAGGAGGGCGCAGTCCACCTCCTTAATACACTTCAGGCCTTGCTCCATCTCTCTGACTGCTATGAGAAAATCTCCGAGGAAGCCCAGGTAATGATGAAATGAGTTTCTGTCCTCTTGGCAGAGCACCTGGAGATCCCTGCCCTTGTTCACTTGATCAAGCTGGGATTGAAAGTCCTCGATTAGGGAAAACTGCATGTCAGGGTACAGACGGATGATTTCTCTGGGGTCCAGCTCACCTTTACTGTTAAAATGGGTAATGAGTATTGATTTGTGTTAGACATAAGTGTAGAATTCAGCAGAAAAGGACCCACTATTCACAAAATTCACATATCACTGAACAGTTTGCTGTGATTCATTTAGCGTATTTGGAATTTGGAGTGTCGTGAAAGGGGTTTTACTCTCACATGAATAGATCTCTGGCCTCAGAAAAACCCTGCTGGTAAAAATGAACAAATCCAGCCAAGCAAGTGATGGCCTTCTGCAGCTCCTGAAAAAAAAAAAAATGCTTAAAACCAGGCACACGTTGCATGAACATATTTAAAACACCAATATGTGAGCTGAAATCATTGAGGCAGAAGACGGTGCGACTATCCTTACATTTGAGGGCAATATGTTACACTTTAAGATATTGAATTAGCAAAAAACAGACACATCATAAGGAACAACTTATGACTCATCAGCGTGTTAATTCTGACACCCTCACCTCTAACCTACTTGAGATATGGCACAGATTACACTTCCAATCTCAGAAACCATCTGCTGTCCGCATTTACATTTATCCAACTGGAACACACCTACAATAACTGCTCACAACAATCTGTTCTACAGTGATGAAATATTAAATTCAAACACTATGATGCAACGCCAGCTGGACTTGTTGTGATGCATAAGAATGCATTACAAGCATGCAAAAAGAATCTAAGCTAGGCTAATTGGCTTTAAGAAAGGCTGGTTTATGCTATTTTGTGCTTATTTGTTATGATTTAGTTACTGTGTATCAGTGTAGTACAACAAACTAAAGATTCTGACGCATCAGAACTGATTTTCAAGTCTGTCAGTCAGTCCATCACTTTGATCCAGAATGAAATCTCAACGTACAGGAAAGTTGCCTTGGTGCAGCTCAATTATACATATATAACCCAATATTTAGTTACTGCATTCTGCCTTTGTAGAGCAGAATAGTTTGGCAGATTGTTGTTTTCTTCTCCCTATGATGATTTATGATTAATTTTATCAGAAATAAAGTAGAAATGAGAAATACTATAAATGCATGTTTAGTTATCCTCAGAAATGTTGTCTTGTAACCACTGCGCAGAAGAATGTATTTGTTAGAACCCCAGATTTCAAAGCAGGGATCTTTTGTGTCCTGCTGTGTGTCTATAAATTGCATTTTACCTTGTATGAGTGAAGTGGACGACGGCCTTGAACTCCATCTAGTAGCAATAAGGCCTCCTCGACCCTCTCATGCCTTACAAGTGCCTGGATCTGCTCTTCGAATGGCACCAGACGCAGGCTGAAAATGTCTCTCTCTGTGAACACTAACACGCCATCTGAGGAGAGATTTGTTTTTGGTTTTCAGAAACACTCAGTGTGTAGGAACAGTAGGCGCAAGAATGATTGACTGAATCAGTGCAAACTGAGACAGACAAAGCTACATCTTTCTAAACAAAACCACAATTCGACTTGGCTATCTGTCTGTCTGGAGTCTGCCTGGATTGGGTGATGAATTGGTGTTGTCGGGTTTACCTGATATGGAGAGCAGACCCTTTGCGCCACTCAGACTCACAGTCTGTTTGCACTGCTGATCTACCATGCTGTAGACAGATAGCACTTGGGGCTGCAGGGTTAGGATGTAAGGGAAACATACTCCGGCTGCCAGCACCTCCTGAGGCCACTGCAGGGGAGGGCGCTGGCATATCCCTGTCTTCATCACAAACATGCCTTAGGGATGGAGGATGGAGAAATGATAAGTTGTAAAAACAAATAGCCTCTGGCTAGATGGTTATATGGGGGAGTGATATGTGATGATTAACTGTATAGCTGCTTTGGAAAGGAACCATATAATGACACATGTCTGTGCTCGACAGCCTGTAGAACAAAGTGTACCATAAACATTTTGGCAGCACTTACCCAAAGATTCAGGCCCGTTCAGAAGGAATTCCCCTTGTCCCACTGAGGTAACAATGACACCCTGCCTGCTGTGACTGTGAGGAAAAAGGTCTTCACTGCTCCCAGTCTGAATATCACAGAGGAGATACCTGTCGCTGGTAGCTATACACAGACTGGCACCATCTACCGCCAAGGCCACAGGGTCCTGGAGCAGAGTGACTTCCTTTACAACCTCCCACCGGTCCACTCCCACCACGTGGATCCGGATAATCCTCCTGCGGCTGGAGGAAGTCACCATCTCAACGCAGGCTGTCTGGGATTCGAGCAATGAGTCGCAAACATCAAACAAAGTCACATGCTGGATCTTCTTCAGAGCCAGAACGGGCTCTAAGGAGAACATGTTGAGGGCTATAATGCTCCGGTCCCACAGGACCAGCAGATGGTTGAAAAGTGGGACTGCCCTCAGTTGGGATACTGGGTTGCTTGAGCCTAGTTTTCTTGCCCTACCTTCTCTGGTTTTACTTTGGCCAGGACTCGGGTCTCCATTTGTGGTACTGGGAATGATGAGATGCTGGACTGTTGCATCTTTGGTGCCTATATACAAATTCCGGTCATAGCACTCAAGGCACTGGATGCTGGATTTGTCCTTTTCTTTTGGGGCTACTTGCTTTTCATAGACTTTTGTCTGTGTAAATGCTCTAAAAGCCATTGCAGAAGTTTAAGGATGTTGGATTCTTGTGGGAAATAAGAGTAAATGCCTAAATCAAAGCTACAGATCTTCTGTGAAATATTTAAAATAAGACGTCCCTACCTCTCTGCTGTTCTCCCCATTCCTCCACAAGTTTATGAAGTGTAAAGTAGTTTCACCTCCCCATGTGACGATATCCTGACAGGAAATCTATGTCAGCATTTTACACCACTCATCCTGCCATGTGAGGACACTTACACAACTGCTGCAGCCCTCACTAAGAAAACCAACTTTTACAAGTATCAAAACAATAGGTATGGTGAAGAAGACAGATATTTTGAGGTGCCCGCAGTTACGGTCTCTTGTATTCTTGGCTTGTGTGTGCACCAAAGTGGCGACTTTGGTCAGTGGATAATGGATAAGTAGGAGAACAAGTGACCTGCTGATCAAACCATATATGGTCACTCTGTTTGTTTACAACGTGAGTGTGCTGGGTGCGACGAGGTCAAGAGGCAACAGAAACGCACCAGAGGTTTGTTTTACAGCAATGATTGTCTAAAGGGTGACCAAGAGGGGACAGCATGGTCATAAAAAGATCTGGATTTCAAACCTTTCATCAAAGTTATATTTATCACACAGACATATGCAGACTTCTCCTCTGGATGGCATCATTGGAGCAGAATATGACTTATTAGGATGAGCAACAGCAGACAGATAATGAATTAAGTTTCAGCATGATATACATAGAAAGGTTTTTATTGGAACAACCTTTACCGTTTCACATTAAAGAGAGGCTTAAACCATGCAGCATGTTTTGTTTCCTCAGTGTGAATACATCTTTTATCTAGGAGATCATAACCAATGTATATTAAGCATATAGCAGAAATGTATTAAAGAGAAATATGTTGCAAGTCCAAAATCAATTAATTGTCAATTAAACTGATAATATTTTCTTTATCAGTTGATAAATCAAAACCAAAAATCCAAAGATACTCAGTTTACTGTCATATAAGACAAAAAGCTGTAACAAACAAATATTTTGGATTTTTGCTTGAAAAATGACTGAAACAATTAAACAATTATCAAAATAAAATGAATTCTATTAATTGACCAGTCACTATCACCTCTAATATGTTAACATAATTTTTTTCTTTTCAGAAATGAAAGTATGTGAGGGGAAAAAATGAAATAAAGAAAACAATGGTACAATTCCACTTTACTTTACAGATATATCTTTATCTTTGTCACAGTTTTTTGTGTGTGGGCAATGTGAGAGAATTAATGGTCATTAATAACACAAAAATACGTTTTTGGCATTAAGAGTTTGTTTGTGTACCAGGCATGCTATGAAGAAATATTCATGGATGCACAATATCTGTATCAGAATATGAGCTCTTGTTGTAACTGTGACCCTTTCATGGAAAGGTCACTTCTCCCTGCCGCAGTCGGTGCACAAGATGTTGTCGCGCTGGGTGAGGAAGCCGCGTCCCACCAGAGACACGGAGCACTGCATGCAGGTGAAACACTCGCTGTGCCACTGGCGCTCCTCAAAAGAGATGTACTTGGCCCCTGCCAGACCTGCACACATCAAACAAAGATTTATGTATTTACATACTGTGCAGGTTAATGCATAATCTTCACCTTGTTTATCTGACAGTTCCTACACAAATGCAAATGAAGGCCTATATGAGTGTGTCAGAATGAATGAAAACAAGAGCACCACCAGTGACTCACTAGTGATGGACTTGGTGCAGCCCACACACTTCTTTGCATACAGGTTGCTGAAGCATTCAAGACAGTAGGGGTAGTTTTCCCTGGAAGTGAAGCGCTGACCGGACAGCTGCTTTCTGCAGCTGATGCATAAGAAACATTCGCGGTGCCAGGGTTTTTCTTGGTATGTCACTCCACCTGTTGTGATGGCCTAGAGGTAACACAAATCCAGACATGGCAAAAGTGAAAGAAGACATAAAGACACAAAGTGACATTCCTATCGCTAAGCATACTTGTACTATGCAACTAAAGTGTCAGTAACATTAAAATACCAAAGTCAGTGGATTTACTGTACTGCAGCAGTTAATACACGTAAAAGACTCAGCTGTAACCGTACCTTCTTACAAGCACAGCACTGATAGGCAAACTGCTTCTCAAAGCAGGGCACACAGAAGTAGCTGGTGTCTTTTGGGATGAAGGACTTAGTTCCTATTGGTTGCTGGCAGCGGTGGCACAGGAAGCAGGTCTCATGCCAGCTGTTCCCCTTGTATTCCATTTTGCGGGAACCTGGCACAGGGGAAGAGAGCAGCTTAGTCAGCATATGGTACCTCTATGACAGAAACACTGCAGCCCAAAATAGTTGTGCTTTATCTGTTGGGAGAAGATGATGCAATCTTAATAATCTTGGAAAGAATATTGGAAAAATTAGAAATGTCATTGCTGTGTGTGTGTGTGTTTTAAATGTTTTTCTTTTAAAATAGATTAGTTGTGTCTTTTCTGCACATATAGCAATAGATGCCATAATTGTTATACCATTTTGTTGTGGTGAAATTGTATGTCAAAAACAAACTTTCTATCTCAACAATGGTTTTATATTTTTACAAACATTTATTGTCATTAACGTAAATGTGATATAGTATCGGGATATGATACATTTTAGGTGATATCATCCAGTCATATTCATTATTATATTCATCATCATCATCATCCGAACATGTACCTGGCATGACAGTTTTCTTGCAAGTGGTGCATTTGGAGGAATAATCATTGGCATAGCATTCAGTGCAGAGCAACAAATCATCCTTGGCTGCAAAGGCCTTTTCCACCAGAGAGCGGCTGCACTTTGCACACTTGAAACACTGCTCGTGCCAGTGGCGATCCTTGTAGGACAAGTCCTGTTGATATTTAACACATTATTTATTGGACTTGTTGATATTCTGTATGGTTAAGTGTTTATTTAGAATGTGCATGGATAGAAACATGCCAGAATAACATAAAAGTAAGTAAAAGAAAACTGCATTAAAATGTCTCTAACCTTTCGATAATAATATTAATAAATAGACTATGCACAGATTATTGACATCAAAGCTATAACTCTCAGGGCAACACGGGTGCTTCCTTACCTTGCAGTTACAGCCTATTGGTAGAGAGCAGCCCTCACAGCAGTTAGCAAACAGGTTCTCATAGCACTTAGTGCAGTACTGCGTGTCCTCTTTCATTATGTACTTCTTCCCCAGCAGGGAGTCTTTGCAGTAATGGCAGTCAAAACGCTCGCTGCTGGACATTGTTGTTTGCTTTTCTTAGCTGCAGGTCAAAGAGAGCAGGAGGAAGAAAATTGGACAATAAGGAAGAACAGGAAGATGGAAATGCCCTGTAATAGTCCAGGCAATTTCTTCCCCTCTCATCAAGCAAGTGAAGAGGCCAGGCAATTTTTTCCCCCTTCTTTCAAAGGAATCTGAAAAAAACCCCAAAAAAACAGTGTTGTATTAAAGAAGTCTCTACCTCAGTTGATATGGGCCGATGATGAAGCTGGAGCTGGGGGTTGTAGAGAGCGAGCGGTCCAGGGATATGGATGGGGCAGGGATGAAAAGGGGTGAGGCAGGATTAGGGGTATCCACTGGGGGGGATCTTCTATAAATACTGGCCCTCTTATTAGCGGTAATCTCTGGGGAGAATGAACATGCTCCACTACATCATTCTGCACCTTTTAAGGGAGCTGATGGTGCAGAGATCGCTAAGCCCTTGAACTCATTTAATCATTGTTGCTTTATTCCAGAAATGCGTAAAAGCAAAAAGAAATGCAGTGTTAGGACTAGAAGACTTATCATTGCTGGGGAAAATGACAGCCTACTGTGCTAACTAACGCCAGTGCCAAAATGTTTGAACAATAGATGAGATTTGAGCTTAAAGATGCAAAATCTTTTTCTTTCCCACACACTTATATCAGTTTGGATATGAGTACACAGCAGAGGCAGTTGGCTATTTGGATGCTGTGATGTGTCTGGACACACTTGTGGCCTTTGTCAGTGCATGCTACACACACAAGCAGTTGCAGATGGCTTATGAGAGGTAGGCGCCAGCAGCTTTGTGTTGCCAGGTACTGAACTATAATGCCAGGACCTCTCAGTAGCTATTGAGAGTGCCTTGGCAGCACTTCAGAAGGGGGACGCTGCGGGCCTGTGGATGTTCAATCCATCAACAGCAAAATAAAGGACGAGGAGCAGGAATGACTGTTGTTGATAGCTATACTTATTAAAAACAAATTCTTAGTTTGCTGCTCCGGAAAGGATAACTGGTAATACACACTTCAAATCACTGGGTTAAAAACTGGCCTAGTTTGGGTCAATGTAGCACCTACACATCCTAACATTTGACCCTGTGTTAATATTCATATTTTTTTATATTATTTTTGGGTTGAGTACCCAAACTGCAATATGGTTATTCTGACAAGCTCAGGTTTTACCTTAAAACTCTCGCAAATTCATTGTAAGTAGTAAAAAAAATTATATGCATGTGACACCCAAAACTGCCAAGGATACACATCATGTGACATCCATTCACAAACAGTAACATTTAAGTTTAAAAAGAGCTAGAGTATAGATCTATCGCATCAATACTGTATTTAGTCTGGGTAAATAACAGCTACATAAAAAATATCACTAACACAAGGTCAAAACAACCCCTTGTCTTGGGTAGTAAATTTATTGCATTGGTGCAATATTGAGCCAAATTGGATCAGCGACTTTTGTGGCGTTGTACTCAGGCCATTACAGTACAACATAGAATTCAATGCATCTGATTTGTTTGTGTGTCTGTTTGGCCTGGTTACATATACCAAGTGAATGCACTGTTGCAGGTGTTAAAAATGCATGTCTGAGATAGTACAAATCCTCTTTTCCCAGTTCTTAAGAATCTTTGACTGACAGTTGACTAATTACATTTGAATCTTGGAACATGTGCTCATATCAGTTTTCCAAAAGGATCAGAGGGCGGATATCTTTGTAAAAATAGCCTGAGAAGACCACCAGCCCTAATCCCTCGTATACACACACAGGGAGGTCAGTGACAGGGATGAGGCTGAGAGGAATGCAACTCTCTCCAGATGAACCCTCTTCCCCTCTGTTTTCTCTTCAGTACCACTCCTTGTTAAGAAATTCATCTAGGATTACACACTTGTGAATACATAAAACATAATGCTTTGTTGGATCAGCAGATGATGTTGGAACATGTGAATGTATGTAGGCGGTATCTACAACCCCCTGAGGAATAATGTAAGACTGTTATTTTTGACCTGTTATGTAAGGCTTTCAGCACAAAGTCACCATATCATGTCAAGAATTCAGGTGTAGGAATTATCACTGATTTGAAGTCGTGCCATCCTTCAGGTTCTTCTTTTTTCTAAGTAGGTGCATCTGACGGATTACACAGAGTCATCTGCTGCTCTGGATTAAATTACCACTGTATTGTACCCTTGTTCCTTGCTGGTGTCCAGATCAGCAGCTGCAAATCAGAAAGCCATAGAGACCCTAAATAAACCCAGAACCAACTGTAGGGCAAATATAGTCATTGCCTCTCAAAAGCTTCTAATCTTTGTTGCATTGGTGGCTGCTTCACAGTATGTCTGTCATCATGCGACATAAAGCCAGGGTGGAGGTGACCTATATTCACCAGCAAACTCTCATCTCTTCAAGTGTATTAACATAGTCTGAAATAAATTGCATGTCAACAGGCAGTGTTATTCACTGGATATTGGATCAGAGATTATTGTATATTGTGTTTATATTGTCTGCATTAATCTGCACTCATGCATGCCTGTCTGTAATTTTATTATAACCGTTCAGATTTTTATCTGATAAGATAACAGGTGCTGGTCTTTGTCTCATGGATTATTAACTTCTACACCAGACAGTGCCAACTCTGTAGAGCAAAAAGCTTGCTGATCTTGCGTATTCCTTTTTGCCTGCTTAATCCTCTCAAGTCAACTAGTGAGCAGCTGCCAACAGATTTCGTATGCGGCCTGTCTAGCCCCAATAAATAGGCCTTTATTTGACCTGGACTCGGGTGTCCTCTTATCTTAATGTATTCAGTCTTTACAATAAGGTGTCAGTGGCAGTTTTTTCCACCTCTTAATCAAATGATCTCAGAGAAGAAGAGAAGCATTTACTTTGGTGGCTCCTTTGAGGTGGTGACTTGTTGTAGACTGAGACAGATCAACACGACACAGTTGCATCTCTCTGAAGCACAAAAGCCTTGCCGCACCAGAGTTGACAGCTGGTTGGCATGGTGATGACAGCATAAGTGGGATCCATTAGGCTGAGATGAGGGGCGAGTCTAGTATTTAATGAGAGGACTCACACAAACCTGGCCCTTTGAGCAGGCCTTTGCACTCTCCTGCGAAGGGGAGAGCGAGCTTTCAACACAGCGTTTTGGACTGAACAGGATAGCCACATAGGGGGTTGCAGGGGGGGAGAGGAGATACAATCTACTAAGTCTACTATCTCACAAAACTTTACACCCCTTCAGGGAGGCCATGTGAGCACCCAGGTAATGCCTCCACCGACTCTGCCCCCTCCCCTCCCCTCCCCCGTTCTCACCAAAATGAGTCATGGTATGAGTGGGTGACAAGACATGTCACAGAGCCAGACATATGATATTCGCTGCTAAAGAGGAGAGAAAGTTGCCTACTCCTAGGAATGCACAAACCATTAAAATCTCCTCTTCGATCCCTCGCCTCCTCCCAGCCCACAGTTTGAGTTTGAGGTATTCGGACTGCATAGACGAAGCTGCTGATTACCTTTGGGTGTCAGCAGCAGCAAATTAGAGCACAAAACATATTTCAATATATCCCTTAAATAATACATTTATAGCTAGAATTTTGTTAAATTATTCAGTCAGAAAAACAGAGATAACCTTTAAAAACAAAAAACAACAAAAACAGAAATTCTAACATACCTGCTACAGGGAAAGTGTCAATCTTTAGTCAAACAGCTGCAGAGCTCCAATAGAAGACTTCCTTTATTCTCCAGTAATAATAACATCATCCTCAGTGCATTGTGCTGGAACACTTCATACAAATACTGCAGGACAAATAAACAAATTTAGGAGTGTTGTAAATGCTCCAGATTATTGGATGGATCGAAAAAGCCCAGCCATCACCCATAAAGTAAATATGTTAATAACAAATTAAGAAATATAATTATATATAATTAGCACAAGAGCTGTGCTTGTTAGAGGTTTTGTGGGTGTATCGATGCAATCTATAGAGTAAGGTTCTGTACTGTATTTAAACAAAGCAAATGTGAGATCCACTGCTGAGGACAATGTCCTGCGGTGGGACAGTCTTGAGTTCTGAAAACTAGAGGGACATTCCCCCCGCCACCTGAACTTTCACATTAATCCCCAATTGACATCGATGGATTATTTGCACCACTGATCCTGGCAACACACATATTTATCACACACGTTGACCTGCAAGATTGAGCTGAAGCAGTTGACAAAGACGTGTCATCTCTGTGAGGTGGCGGAGGCGACTGTAAATACCAGAGCACTAGCGAGGATATGGGGTAACCAACAACAGCCGGAGGATCGAGGCGTAACCACCACAACACGCTCTCCTCACTCTCATCAATCACTTATCAAGGCTTTTGGATAGCTATTTATACCTCCGCCTGCATTACATGGCACTGGAGAACAGTGTGGGCAACATTTGTGGAAATTACATTGGATATAGATGTAACAGCACTATATTAGGTGTCATCATGTTAAATTTCTTAAGACTAACCCTAAAAATGCAAAAGATTCATACAAGATCCATGTGAAATGATAGACGTACCGAAATTTAAAGGACCAGTGTGTAGGATTCAGTGGCATCTAGCGGTGAAGTTGCAGATTATGACCAAATTAATTAATTAATACCGCTTGCCTTCCAGGAGAAACTGTGATGGCTGCAGAACTCACAAAAAACATGAAAATGTCCTTACTTGCTTTCATCCCAAAAATTTGTTTATGGTTATGGTTATCTTAACTTAGCATAAAGAGCGGAGGGAAACGGCTAGCTTGGCTCTGTCCAAAGGTTAACAAAATCCACCTGCTAGAACCTTAAAAGCTCTATTTATCACATTATTTCTCATTTGTTTAACCCCCTGTAAAATCGTGAATTTCTACACTTATTTTTGTACAGTTAATGAACGAGATATAGGCTAGCTGTTTCCACTTACTTGCAGTCTTTTGGCAAAGCTAAGCTAAGCAGCCTCTGAATCTGGATATGTATTGTTTTGCACAAACATGAGAGTGGTAGCAATCTTGCCATATAACTCTCGGCAAGAAAGCAAATAAGTGTATTTCCCAAAATGTCAAACTGTTCCTTTAATATTCCAACAACAGAATCAGTTATTTGGTTTCAAGCTTATTTCAAAGAGTTACCATCAAATACATCATCAGCTAGTTAAGAAAAGTGCTCTATGCTCCACTCATGTTTGCTCAGTTGTCCATATCTTTATTTTCTTTGACACTATCAGACATCTACAGTAAAACACAACATTTGGCAAAATACAGTGATTTGGCAAAAAACTTACATACTGATTGACTCACTGATAGTTTCAGTGAACTG